GCCGCCGCCCCCGCCGCCCGACGACGACGGCGAGGACGGCGACGCGCTCAGCACGGCCGGCAGCTGGTGCAGCGGCGCAGACCTCGTGCTGGACGGCTGCTGGTGGGACGCCGACTACGTCCAGGTACCCAACTGTGCTCCTTCGCTCTTGCTTCAACTACTCTTATTGGCGAGCCCTGCCAACGAAACTGTATAAATCTTCTAATGCTTATTTTTAATTAATTCAAATTTAGCTCCTAATCTCCAATATAAACAATTATAACCATTCTTTGGGTAAATTTAACCGCAAAGGGCGTACATTTCAAACGCCCCGCGTTCAAGATAATTTATTTTTCCATAAAGACAGCTGTCTGCGTTACAGAGACAACAAAAAATGGTCTAAATACATTTTCTCGACTTCTTCAAAGATGGCCGTGAGATTGCACCTCCCCCCAGACAGCAGAAGCGACCGCGCGCCAGCAAAGTTTTCCATCGTCCTCATTCGAAGAAGCTATTTTCTTTCCGCTGAGACGCTGCGGGCGCACATAACGTTTTCGAAACGCAACAGCCGACCCGTTTGACAGTTGAATCCGTTATGTGCGGTCGGTGTAGCAATTTCGAAGCTTCATGGTGCTATATTTTCCATGCACCCGCATTTATGGTGCGCCACAGCAGAGCAATGTATCCGTTGATTCATATACGCATTGAATAATGGAAAAAAAAAACAAGAAAGGTTAACAAATTCCATTTCGCCCAGTCATAGGTAACATGGATATTTACTTCGATATTAAACCTCAAAAGCAAATTCTAACGCGAAGGTGTGCAGTCTTAATACTTGTCGTTTTCGAAATCTGCCAATTTGACAAAAATCGCAGGAAGACGTATTTGCGGTTTTTCGGCCCAACCTTCTCCTAACACATAGCTATACTCACCGCCTTAACACTTCCTGTAACATGTTGTGTAGTCAGAATCCATGACTAGCAGCTCCTTGATACTGAAAAATTGATTCACGGCAAAACCTGTCTGTCGTCCTGCCTCTCCGCTTCCCGTCCGTCCATCCAGCCGTCTATCAATCCATCCGCCCACCCGTATAATAATAATAATAATAATAATAATAATAAAGTAATATCGCATGAACTAAATGTAATTCGGCAACTCCTAGTTAGAGCCGTCGTGTTGCAATGGCGAGCGGCGGTAGTGCAGCTCCAACGTCAACCGTGTGTGTGTGTGTGTGTTGGCAGCACTGGCTGCGCCTGGACGAGACGCGCAGCGCGCTGCAGCAGCAGCACCGCGACCTGCTGGAGCTGGAGTACGACCGCGCCGAGCTGGAGGACTGGAGCCTGTCGCTGTCGTGCGAGGAGCTGCCTTGCGCTTCTGCCGCCGCCGCCGCCGCCCCGCTCACCCTGCCGCCGCCCGCGCCGCCCCCGCCGCCGCCCCCGGCGCTGGAGCTGGAGGAGGACGCGTGCGAGTGCCTGTTCCTGCTGGGGGCGGCGGGGGCGGGGCCGGGGGCCGACGTGGCCTCGCTGCTGCTCCTGGAGGCGGACATGGAGAGGCGCGCGCTGGCGCTGGGGCTGGCGTCGCCCGGGGGCAGCAGCTGGTCCAGCCACTCCGAGGACGGCTGCCACTCGCTCGACTGCCTCAGCGGACGAGGTACCAGCGCTCTGCGCTGCCTCGCACCGGCTACGCTGCCACCCCCGACCCTCCCTCCAGTGGAACTACGGTTACACTCCCGACCTTCCTTCCAGTGGAACTAGGGTTCCTGTCCCGACCCTCCCTCCAGTGGAACCAGGGTTCCTGTCCCGACCCTCCCTCCAGTGGAACCAGGGTGCCACTCCCGACCTTCCCTCCAGTGGAACTAGGGTTCCTGTCCCGACCCTCCCTCCAGTGGAACTAAGGATCCACTCCAGACCTTCGCTCTAGTGGAACTAGGGTTCCAGTCCTTACCTTCCCTACAGTGGAACTAGGGTTCCGCTCCCGACTTTCCTTCTATGTAATGAACAGCAAGAGTAATAAATTTAATATTTTGTCAATTAATTGGTAATAAACGCGTGCTAAACTTGCATTTGTGCGATGTGCGCAGGGGAGCCGAAGCGGTGGTCGGCGGCGGGCAGCGAGGCCAGCGCCGGGTCGCCGTCGCCGTCGCCCTCATCGTCCGCCGCCGCCGTGGGCGTGGGCGTGGGCGTGACGGACTTCACGCGCGACTTCTACCGCCTCGTCAAGTTCGAGAGCAGCCGCAGCCTGGCGTCCACGTCCTCGCGCAGCCTCGCGCCGCCCGACCCGCCCGCCGCCCAGGTGACCCACCGCACCCCACCCTGTGCGCAAGCGCGAGAGCATTGGAACCAGTTGGCCGCCGTGGTACTCGCGTACCTTCATTTTTTACCTAATTCTTTTTTGTTCAGATCTACGTATTTTCTATTCAACTAGACGTTAACTTGACTCTGTCTTTTCACATTTCCCTCCCATAATTTCCTCTCATAATTCAATTTTAATTTTATGGGTAATTTGCTTCAAGCCCAGGGACATTTTCCAAATTTTCAAAAGAATGGATCCATCGTTAATGATTAAATTTTGTCGTTGGCTAGTAGGAAGAAGATTTAAGAGAATGATGTATGTCCCATGTTGGTTAAAAACCCTGATTTTTCGAAAATTGCAAAACTTCAATTTTTTAAGCTTCTTCCTACGAGTACTTTTAAACAGTACGCTGTCCTACAATTTAATATACCAAAATAGCAAGCCTTTTACCAAAATTTGATTTGTTTCTTCTGGACATGCATGGACTATTATAGCACTGACGGAAACATGGTTGAAACAGGATCAAGTGATTCATGTGGAGAGCTGTCATATGTTTCGTCGAGATAGAACCAGAAGACGTGTGGGTACGTTATATCGACCTCTTTCACCATCACATAGATTTTCAGATGTAGATACTGCCCTTCTTGATATGCTTCGACAGGCGAACGATTGGGAAGAGCTTACTGTTGTCCTTGGGGACTTCAATTTTCCGTCGCTTCACTGGCCCAGCACAGCCCAGCTCAAATTACATCCAGCCATTAGAAAGAGAGTTTCTGATGGTATACGAAGATTCTTGTTTCTCTGAGCTGGTAACTGGGGGAATTAGGTTTCGGGATGGACAGAAGTCAGCGACCTCCGATCTAATTATCACAAATGAATCAGCTTTGTCGACTCCAGTTGCACGACGTTCTGTCGATAATAGTATTCATTTCGCTCCGTGTATTGATATGCAAATCGAATTTCGCGATGCAGATCCCTCTAACCAGAACTGCAAGATTCACTGGCGTGCAAATTGCGAGGGCGTGAAGAGGGACCTATGACAGCCCCTTCTCTCTTTAGATCACGTCGAGAAAGTGCAAATTAGTTGGATTGTACTTAGATCCGGAATTATACACGCCTTAGATGTTCTCTCACCTATTCAAAACGACGTTCCCAGTTTAAATAAACAATGGATTACTAAAAGGATACGACTGATAAGCAAAAAGAAACGACTGTGGACTAATTTAAATCCACGAATTGTCAATCACAATACTGGAAATACAGAGAGTTACGCAACACAATATCAAATGAGATTCGTGCTTGCAGGTGAAATTATGAACAAAATATTGCTAACATCAATGGCAAGCTTCTATACTCGTACATCCGCAAACAGATTTCTTCCAAAGTTTCCACCCTACGTACTCTCCGGAAAGAGGAGGGGGAAATTGCTTCGGATCTTTGCGGAAAGTTTTCAAAACTTCTACACATGGGAGACCAAACGATTCTCTCCCATTATATCCTCACCTCCTTCTGACGAAATATTGGAAGACATTGGCTTACATGTTGCAGATGTTTACAACGCCCTCGTATCCCTAGATCCTAACTCTTCTGCTGGTCCAGATGGTATTCCACTACTTGTACTGCAAGAATGCGCACAAGAACTTGCCCCAACTCTAAGTAAACTTTCCGAGACTCCCTTGTCTCCGGATATTGCCGACGGAATGGAAAACAGCCAATATTAAACCAGTTTTCCAGAAAGGTGACAAGCTAGATCCCGCCCACTAGAGGCTCATTAGATTGACCAGCCCGATATTCAAGATCTTTCAGCGGATTCTGGCGGACAAGATACTCGAATTAACTTTGAGAACTGGACTCAAACCACCGCACCAACACGGCTTCATACCAGGCAAAGCTATTATTACAAACCTACTATCTTCACTTCAATGCTGAACAATGGATCTAGATAATGGCAACCTCACAGATATCATCTACTTGGACGTTTCCAAAGCTTGCGACAAGGTACCGCACCGAAGATTGCTTCACAAACTTGTTCACTTTGGTATAAAGAGGATACTTTTGCATTGGATAAAGTCTTTCCTTGAGGATGGAGGAAATAAATCGTGTCTGGAGAGAATCGACTATGGAGTTCCCCAGGGCTCGGTAATGGGACCTGTCCTATTCATCCTGTATTCCAGAGACCTGCCGAACGATATGCTCTCCCACTTCAAGATAAATGCAGATAACACCAAATTCTACGCTAACTCTGGTGTATCATCGCCACCTTCAAGATGACTTATGAGAGGTCGAGAGTTCGGATGAAACAAACTGCATCGCCGTGCATATTGGAACATGCCACCCGAAGCGAAATAACCTAAGAGGCGGAAGGAACGTATCCAAAACCAAGATCATGGAGGATCTAGGGATTATGATCTCTAATGATCTCAAATGGGAAAGCCACGTGAGAAATATCGTAAAAAAACTATAGCTAACAAGACTATATTTACACTGCATAAAACATTTAACACAATAAGAAGCGATGCATTCACCTTGCTACGTAGAACCTACATTCTCCCGATAGTTGAATTTGGCACCGCGACTCGGATTCCTTACTTTCTCAAAGACATAAATCAGCTGGAAAACATACAAAGAAGAGCCACACGTACCCCTACAGACCTCAAGAACATGGCTTATGATCAATGGCTTCCGACTCTTGGTGCTGGGAAACAACGCGGCGACATGTTTGAAGCATTCAAGATCTTCCATGGGCATTACAACTCCGATCTTAGCAGTATTTTTCAGCGCTCTGAAAATCGACAATTACGCACGAGGTCATAGTATAAAGCTTGTAAAATCTAGAGATAATCTAATGCAATACAAGAGATTCATGGTAACAGAGATGTCGACACTTGGAACAAATTACCCCAGAACGTAGTGACGGCACCTAGTCTTAAGATGTTCAAGAGAGCTTATGATGGTCTTCTCAACGAGGAAGGCCATGGACATCATTGATATGCGGACTGTTCCTCCTTTTCAAGAATTGTATCAATTATTGTGATATTATGTGATATTATGTGATATTTAAATTTACTTATGGTATGAAACATTGTAATATGTTAAAAATAATTATGTTTGCGACGATTCGGGCCACATCAGATTGTACTGTTGCTTGTATATTACCTTAAATAACAAAAAGAAAATATTAAAGATAGAGACGTTTTCACATAAATGAAATCTGTGTCTTAACGATAGATATTGGATGATGGTCACGCACAAACTTTCTAAACGTGAGTACCTTTGACGCGTAATTTTGCGTTAAAGTATGTGGTCGAGTGTGTGTTTGTGTAGTTAAGCGGAGTGTGTGCGTGGTGGTGAGTGTGTGCGCGTGTGTTCCAGGAGCGCGAGGGCACGCCCGGCGAGGAGGGCGGCGGCGCGAGTGAGGGCGAGGCGGAGGCCGAGGCCGAGGCGGAGGCGCGAGGCGGCTCCGACGGCGACAGCAGCGCGTCCAGCGGCGGCGAGCGGAAGATCGAGCGCGAGAGCGGAGCCCGCTCGCCCCCGGCCAGCCCCGCGGTGCGTCTTCTGCGCATGCGCCAACTGCCGCCCCCGCGCCCGGGTTGGCTCGAGGCAGAGTTGCCCAACTGCGGTGCCAGTTATAGAGCGATTTTTATTAGAATGGGCTGATTTGACAGCTAGTGCTGGCAACACAACTGAAGGTTCTGTGGTCGTTGTGTCCTTGAACCTAGTAGACTCTCCTTCCTCTATTCTTTCGTTTGCAGTTGGCTAACTTGTAAATGGCTTCGACTTTTCTTTTTGTGATGTCCCCGTCCGACGAAAATATAGTGCGCCACGAGAAATAATTGAAATTAGGATGTGATAGAATGTTAAATCATTTTTCTACATATGTAAATAAATTTTAATATTTCCCAGACTCGCGAATATGTATATAAACGTTGTAGCTAAGCGAAACTCAGACATCTGTATAGTGATATCTTCGCAGGAGCCGTAAACGAACACTACGAAGGGGCGTAACTAAACAGCTGATGTTCACTTGTTTCGCGAACTGTCACTTTCGCCCATTCTTATAAAAATCGCTCTCTGTTGTGGCTACTAGACGTAAGTGGAACTCCTTGCGCACCTAGCGCACGCGCCCTGGCGGAGTCAACACCCTCTTAGGCGAAGATTAGATTTAAGGATTAAGTCAAGAAATTCGAAATCCTTCTAATGTGATTCACAGCATCATGCATGGTACAGCCTGATATGACGCAAGGTTCCAACACCTCCCGCCCCTCCGTTTCAGAGCAACCGGGCAATCAGCGGAGATAAGCAATGCGGCAAAATGAGGTGTGGATCGCCCAATTAATGGAAATACGACCCTCAACCGTATTAAAGTTTTAATCGTGGCCCTTGAGGCCTTGCAAGTTGCGCATCCCTGGCTTAAAGGCGGTTCCACACATTCGTCATTCGGCGAGAAGCGAGCGGCCGCTCGCCGAATCCCTAGTAGTGTGGTCGACATGCTTTCTATTTGGCGAGAGACGAACATTTGATGCTCGCCCTACCCACCGCGTGTCGGTCTTTAGGACACATCAGAGGGAGCGAACATTCGCCGAACACATCAGCCGTTCCGAATTGATCGAGCAGGAGCTCGCTGCTTGAGTGACGTCCTTCAAATCCCTCAAGGAAATGGATGTTTTCGTGTTACTGACCTCCCAGCCAATGCGGAGTCAGGGGGACAAAACCTTGCTTGGTTGATTAACGTTTTGGGGTCAACTTCTTAGATCATCAGCCCCGTAAGTGTAGTTCATTTTTACTCGGGAGGTGCCGGTGATCTCTCCTGATGGTGAGATCTGACGCCGACCTACATGTCTGCATACGGGATTTCCCCAACCAGGCATCTCCCACTAGCGGGGTTCCGTCCCAGCCGGGCCAACCTCTAAGC